AAAAATGCGCCAGAATTGTATAGATAGTCTCTATTCAATTGTATAAAAATCTACAATGTGTCTGATTTTGGTGGCTATACAGCACCTATTAGCCCAATGTTGCCTACTCGAGCTATCAGCATTACAATGGATAGGATTTTGGCTTAGATTTGCAGAGACTAAATAACCGATTAGTATGTGGCTTCAATCCTACAGGTCCATAATTTTAATTACTACCCCATAACTATGTTAAAGTGCTCATTCTTAGGGGTGATCTCGACATAGGGGCCACAAATAAAAATTCTGGATCCGTAGATCAATTGGAATTCAAATTCTAAGTAATATCCTCCTACAAACCATGTTCATACGTGTTGTGGTTGGAAAGTTATAGTCCAATCTCTCCAGAGTGCCAAATTTGGCAGGGAAAACAAGCTGATTTCGCATTTTTGGAGCAATAAATACAATTTCTACATGGAAAACTCTCTCAGTGGATTCAATCACATCATTCCCTCAAACCCACTGCAAAAAATATATTGGATTGGTGTTGTGGAAGGTACAAAGTCCATGTCTCAAGAAATTGGCCCTGTGACGCTATGTCACGGCATGTCACTGGTCATCACACTTACCAAGGATTGTGCAACACCAGTATTATAGATTGTATCTGTAGTTTGCACTGCTAATTCTTCCAAAGATGATCTTATCGATGATGATGAAGACATTGATGAGTTGATTTCAGGAGATGCACACCAAAACCTTCTCCATGAAGCGTTGATGCCATCCGATGACGATGCTTTTTGGGAAAGCTTTCTCGAGCGTGTCACATCTCATCAACATATTGCAGAAGAAAACACCCAAGATATTGGAAAGGCATCATTACAGGCAGTGCTTGTCAAGGTAAAAGTAATCCAATCCTCGGGGATTATTTTTGTAATAACTTTTCTACTTAGCCTGGTTTTGAGGAGCAGATAGTCTTTCGGATCCATCGGTGCCTCATGGACCAGAGGTTTCCTGCACACTTACGACCCCCATCAGTCTTTGGCTGGAAAGCACCACCCGGCAGAGTGTTTTTCGAACATGGTTCAAGGAAATGATTCACAAAATCTGTCAAGGCTTATCAAATGTGACCGTCTCCAAGACTTTCGATATCCCAGATCCCAACCCCTCCATCTTTACTCTTCCTGACACCTTCCGACCAAAGCCCCATTCATGGGTGAGGTTGAACCACGGGATCTATAAAGGAGATCTCGCCTTCATTCGGGGTGTCCATTCCTTGTTGCTCGTCAATGTCCTCATTGTACCATGTGTTATCTACGACCCACCATCCACCAAAGCCAAAGGAAGCTGGCTTATCGCAATTGAGGACTGAAATGATGAGGTGGATGATGACTTTGCAACATTTTACAAACCTGAATGTGAGCTAAACCGAAGAGCTTCAGCACCAGGGCAACCTCCACAAGCCCTGTTCAATCCAACACTGGCCAAGCAACGGTTTCGACAGGCATTCCAGATTAGTGTTCGCAAGTTCAGTTCAGTCCGGTTTTTTGCCCCCAAAACGCGCAACCGTGGACCGCAACCAGTCTAGGACTGACCCAGATATTGAGGGAACCGAACCGAACCACCTAGGACCGGTCTATTTCGGTCTATGGAGCCGGTTCAGACCGATCCAGACCGGTTTTTTTGCATATAATTTATTATACCAATATAAACCATTTGTATCTTGACTATTATTACTCTGAAAAATAAACGGGTTATATGAAATAGTAAAGCATGTAAATACCCGTCATTCTACCAATTTTGAAGAGATTTAATGAATATTTGACATAGCTATGACTGAAACCGAATTACATCTCGTAGAGACTCGGGTAAAATATGGATTTGGTTATATCTTTCTCAATTCTTAACCGTTTTTGATGAAACAAAAACCCAATAAAAGGTAATAAACGTGGTTACAAGGGTATGTAACGCACGTGACCGTTTAACCGGTTGCAACCGATCAAAACCGGTCTTTGAACGGTTTTAATATATTTTCGAAATGAGGCAACCGGCAACTGGACCAACCCCAAATTGGGGCAACTGCAACCGAAAAAAAGACTGGACCATGGTCCGGTTCAGTTTGGTCCACCGGTTTTTTGCAGTCCTATGGACTGAACCTTTAAACACTATTCCAGATGTGAAACAACTTATCATTATTCCGAGGAGTTCTTTATGATGCCGATGGATACACATACTTCCTGGACCTCAACACTGATTGGTATACCGCAGAAGATGTGGTACCATCACTGAAAGAATTTGAACTGTTTAGCACTTGTTCAGACATCCCTCTCAATGTCCGACAGCACACAATGGCGAGAATGTTGGCCAGGATTCTTCAGATAGGCGATGGAGTGAAAATTACTGACAGAGATTTGAGGGCAGGTTTTGGAACAATTGTTGACATTAAAGGCAATGAGGCTGTTGTGTTTTTGACAACACAGGATGTGACAATTACCGTACCCTTTTCGTCACTTCGAAAACATCTTAAAGTAGGGGATGAAGTGCGCATTCTTTTGGGAGACCACCAAGGTGTTATGGGCTGGGTAGTAAATCAAGACGATGACTATGTGTGCGTCTTCAATGACAGGACTGGAACAGAGGTAAATGTTTCGTTTTTACAATACATACTCTGACAATCCGTCATCTTTTAGGCAGAGGTATCCCCTGGGAATGTTGAGTTCTTCAGCTCCCCCTTTGTCTTCACAACGGAATCCACAGAGTCCTTGACAGCTGCACAAAAGTGAGTCATGAAGGGGGACTCGAACAGTCATCTTGTAGGAAAACACGTAATGGTAACCCAAGGCAATTTTAGAAGTTACCGAGGCAGAATAAAAAGCACAGTTGGTGAGAAAAGGCTTTTGGTCGAACTCGAGGCGCTCCTCCAATGCCCACAAATTTTGGACATTTCTGCACTACACATCATGCAAGCCCTTTTGCTTTTTTTCTTTCTGAAATTGATGCTAATCAGCTTCCAGTGCTGATGAAAGGCTTCAGCCCCCAAGGCCTCGAGAGCTTCTGACCGATTTCTCTTACCCACTTGAACCAGTGCCTCTGCCTGGTACTTTGGCAAGATTTTTGTTCCCTGGTCTGCCATTGCCGGATCCGCAACCCTCAGCCGCATATCCTGCTGCCCTCGTGCAGACTCTGACCATTGCGGGGCCGTCTACTCTGCTTCCTAACTCACAAGATATCCCAACAAGCCCAGCTTGGAACCCAAGCTCAGATACCCCTCTCTGTGGCAATTATGGTGATTATATTTTTGATTCAGATTCAATATATATACTGACACAATTATGGCAGCCCCTCTGTATTGGCTTAGAGATAACCGCTTTGCCACCATGAGACTGAGCCTTCATCTCATCAACACCCACCCTAATTTCCATGATGGCAAGTACAAAAATATGTGCAGGGAGTTCAAGGGAGTGGTCGGAGATGTGGTTAAGGTCCAACTCGGTTTCACAGTGGTGGAAGTGCCATTTCCGTACTTGATACCTGAAAGGCCGGAGTGCAAAGCCCAAGTTGTTACTGTGTTTGATGGCCCGCATAAGGGGTCACAGTTTAGGATCAAGGTTTTTGGTGAAGATATCTGCGGCTGCTCTCATTTGAAATCAACAAAGCTTTTGAGAAAGGTTGATGTCCAAATCACCACCAATGAACTTGTAGTTACCTGGGGATAAGATAGCTTAGATATGTTTAGAGACTCTTCATGTATGTTTTACGCCTATATTGATGGCAATGTATATTCTTGACCTTATTGCGAGACAATCACTATTTATAACTGGCTTAGTCAGCTCAAGCCAGTTTCTTAACCAGAGCTGAAATTAGCTGAGCCATGGGAGTCATCACTCAACAGTTCTGGCTGGGCTTCGGCTAAACTCGGCTTGGCTCCTGGCTTCAGCTGGCTCTGAGCCGGAGCCACGGCAACACTAGTGCTAGGCAGGAATGAAATAGATATGAAACAGAAATGAAATGGATATGAAACAGAAATGAAATGAAAAATAGCCCAGGAAGCAATGAAAAATAGTGCTAGGCAGGAATGAAATAGGAATGAAACAGAAATGAAATGGATATGAAACAGAAATGAAATGAAAAATAGCCCAGGCAGCAATGAAAAATAGTGCTAGACAGGAATGAAATAGATATGAAACAGAAATGAAATAAAAAATAGCCTAGGCAGCAATGAAAAATAGTACTAGGCAGGAAAGAAATAGATATGAAACAGAAATGAAATGGATATGAAACAGGAATGAAATAGAAATGAAATAGAAATGAAATAATACCTTGAAGGAAATGAGATACATTTCATAAGGTTTGCCATGTTATCTCATTTTATAAAAAACCTAGGCAATTAACAAATCATTGTGCTAGCAGTTGCCAGTGTTTTATGATAAGAAGTGGTAGCGGCTAGTGAAAATAGATAATTTTGCCATAGGTCACCATGACAGAGTTCTATTGTGGACAACAGACATACATTAGCTACACTATAGCTACACTATAACTACACTAATAACTACTATAAGTAATGATCTACTAATTACAAGGGGTGAACCAAATGACAATGAGAAACAACGACAATGAGAAGCAAGGACAGATGACAATGACAATGAGAAACAACAACAGAAGACGACAATGATTATCATCATTGTCTTCCATCTGTTGTCATCACTGTCAATGTTGCTGTTGTCTGTTGTTGTTGTGTCTGTGGTTGTGGTTCTGGGTTGATGGACATGGTACATCAGGTAAGCTACCGTGACCCCTGGCTTCATGTTTGAAAAATGACATGGGGGGAGCAGCCTGATGTGCTCACCTGGGCACATTGTTAACATGTGGACGATGTCATTAGTGTTTAAAGGTTCAGTTCAGTCCGGTTTTTTGCCCCGAAAATGCGCAACCGTGGACCGCAACCGGTCCAGGACCGACCCAGATATTGAGGGAACCGAACCGAACCACCTAGGACCGGTCTTTTGCGGTCCATGATACCGGTTCAGACCGATCCAGACCGGTTTTTTTGCGTATAATTTATTATACCAATATAAACCATTTGTATCTCAACCATTATTACTCTGAAAAATAAATGGGTTATATAAAATAGTAAAGCATATAAATACCCATCATTCTACCATTTTTCAAGAGATTTAATGAAGATTTGACATAGCTATGACTGAAACTGAATTACATCTCCTAGAGACTCGGGTAAAATATGGATTTGGTTATATCTTTCTCAATTCTTAACTGTTTTTGATGAAACAAAAACCCAATAAAAGGCAATAAACGTGGTTACAAGGCTATGTAACGCACGTGACCGTTTAACCGGTTGCAACTGATTAAAACCGGTCTTTGAACGGTTTTAAAAGATTTTCGAAATGAGGCAACCGGCAACCGGACCAACCCCAAATTGGGGCAACTGCAACCGAAAAAAAGACCGGACCATGGTCCGGTTCAGTTCGGTCCACCGGTTTTTTGCGGTCCTATGGACTGAACCTTTAAACACTAGATGTCATATGGTTGCAGTTGTGCTTGACGACGTGACCCCCCTGCTTCATGTGTGAAAACAATGTGGGGGGGAAAGGCTTGATGTGCTTACCTGGTGCATTGTCACTGTGTGGACTACGCGGCACATACTGTTCATGAGCCACATTGCCATTACCAACTCATCGTATGACAATGAGAGCCCCTGCTTCATGTAAGAAAAACGACATGGGGGGAAGATATTTGTTATGCTCACCTAGGCACATCATCACTACCAAGCCAAACCATGTCACTCATCATATGTCACAAATGGCAATGCGACCTCTGCTTCATGTGTGAGAATGATGTGGGGGGGAAGCTATTCAAAATGCTCACCTGGGTGCATCTGCATCGTCACTGTATGTTACCAAGCCATCACCACATTGTTCAGCTGGTGTTACCACATTGTTGGTGATGTAGTTGGTGTGTGCTGTGTGGTGGTGAGCGGTTGGTGATCGTTGTGGGCAGTCACAGTAGTGGCTAGTGGTGGGCATGTACTGTTTGCATGCCATGTAGTCGTTGTCCCGTTTACGTCCCACATCATTGTCGTCCCATGTTGTCATCATCCCATTGATGTGCCACGTCATCATCATCCTGTTTATGTCCAATGTTGGATGACGATGTCGTCGTCCCATTTACATCCCATGTCGTCGTCATCCCGTTGTCGTCCCACATCATCGTCAACCAGCAGGCACTTGTTCACCTGGCATTACCATGTCATTGTCAATGTTGTTGGTGTGCTATCATGGTGGTGGGCAGTTGGTAATGGTGGTGGGTGGCAATGGTACTGGGCAGTGATGGCAGTGGTGGGTGGCAGCCATTGGCAACAATGGTGGAGGTGAGAAGAGGAGTGTTGTTGATTGTTGATTATTGACAACACCAGATCTAGCGGCGGTGTTTGCTGAGACTTGTTTCCTACTGTCGGAAAATTGTTATTATTGTTTATTTTTAATTACTAATGTGTATTCTGGTTACTGGATTCTTTATGCATTCCATTCTGGTGTATTCCGGGGACCATTCCAGCTACTAATCAGGAATGACATCATTCCACTGGAATATTCGTCCCCTGGAATGTCATTTTGGCTGGTCTCTGTGCCAAATTTGATTCCTCTGGATTCTGCCAGATTCTGCAGGAATGACCAGAATCCGGCAGGAATCAGTGGGGCATGATAAAGACCTCGATCTATGGGCCAAAGTCATTGTCTGGGTGGTGCAACTGACCTTGTTGAGAACAGCCCACAAAGTCTCCAATATCTCTCCATCTGTTTGACTGGCCCTGGGGATTGGTGTTTGGAAGTCCGGTCTTGTGACTGGAAAAAGACTGTAACCAGACCGGACCAAGACTGCAAAAAACCGGACCTGTGGATCGGTTTTTTTATTTTTGAGAACTAAAGACTGCAAAAAGACCGGTCTAAATGAACCGGTCTTAACCGGTTAGGACCGGTTTTTTGTAGCCCATCAAATACCCTTCAAAACGCACCCAAGAACGTATTAATTGGTTGAAAATTGACAAAGATATAAATAAAAATGTAAAATTTTGTTAAAAATAGTAGATGTACAAGGCTTTTTTTATAGAAACACCAATTCTCAATGGAATTTGACATTCTTGGGGCTCTTTTTAAAGCTACGAAAAATGTTAACAAATTTACCTATTCATATTCCTAAAATATTGGCCAGAAAACCAGTCTTAAACCGGTTAAAACTGAAGAAGACCAAGACTGGTCTATAGACCGCAAAAAGACTGCAGGCCACAGTTTCTTGTGGTCCGGTTCAATCTTTTGATGTCTGGGAAAAATGCAGACTGGTTATGGTTACGGTTAAAGCCCAGGGGCATCAAAAAACCAGACCAGACCAGACTTTTAAACACGACTGGGGATGAATGTTGGGGCAAATCTTGGAAAGCATATTTCTTGATGGCCATGGACATGGAATAAGCTGATCCCAGCTACCAATAACAAGTCTGACCTGATCCAGAGGTGTTTGGCACCACATTTTATCCAAGCCATCAAATTCACCATATACTGGCAGTTGAGAGTATTGAGCTGGGAGAGATCTTTCAATACTTCTTACAATCTGGCAAACAAAGTCTGAACCAGAGGGCATGTAAGAAAGTGAACAATGCTCAATAGAATAAAAGCCTCACCAAATGAGAAGTGACAAGAGTGCATTTATGATAAACAGTAGGCAAAGCCTAGGGTAGAGAATCACTGGTCATTTGGGTGAGTATGTGGTGCATAGAGAGAGAGAGAGCATCTGCAAAGGCGTTTTTTCCCAGTAGCAAGGCCCTTTCTCACAAGACTCAGAGAGGGCCAGCCAAACTCTGGAGACTCCTGTAGCAGCCTCGTTATCCCATAGACCATCCAAATCTCATGAGCTCTCTGGTGGTTCCCATAGATTCATGCTTTTCAGTAGAAATCAACGACTACAGCACAGGTCAGTAGCTGCTTACCTGTTCTAATTAATTAGAAATCTCACTGCCGAAGATCTCACAAGCACCCTCATCATCAACAATTGCTGTGTCTGTGCGCCAAAGGGGGGACTATTTTGGCCAAACAGGCGCATCATGTGGAAGATATAAAATGCCAGTCAGCGCCATCTTTCCAACGTCAAGTTCTGTCTCCCATCTCCCCTTTTTTGCACAGCTCCCCTGTTGTTTGCAAATTGCTCCCTGAGTCCGGGGTTTCCTCAATGTAAGCTATCTAGTACTAATAACTTTCACCCCTTCATAGAATGTTCTATCTCGGCCTGGTACAACTGGGTGGACATCAGTGGTGTGCATTTCATCTTCACAAAGTAAGTTCTCGACTACCTGATGCCATTATTGTTTGATACAAGGGTTCAGTACTAATTGCTTGTTCATGCAGCCATACACATGATACTTTGGTCTATTAGTATTAATAGGCTGTTTCACAGTAGGCCAACTTAGGTCCCAACTTTCATCTCAACTTGTGGGCCAACTTCAACAAAGTTGAGGAGGAAGTTGGCCAACTCTACCATGAAACACCTTGAACTGCAGAAAACATAAAGTTGGGTTGATTTGGGCTTGGAAGGAATTCCGGATGCAGATTTCTGCCTATTTTGGATACGTGGGAAGTTGGAAGGTGAAGTTGGGCACCAAGTTGGGATCAAAGTTGGCTGCAAATCGGCGTCAGGACCACGATTTGCATCCCAACTTCATGAAGTTGGTCAAACTTTGTCCTTCCAACTTGGCAAAAGTTGCACACCAAGTTGGGGATCAAGTTGGGACCTAAGTTGGCCTACTGTGAAACACCCTAATATTATTGATAGTTTCGAAATGTATTGGTACTGGTTACATACTATCAAATATTATTCACGATTTTTGATCTTCTGTCAAATTGGTCCCAAGAATCTGAAGATTGTCTTCAGGCTCGTATCACATTGGAAAAAATTAAATGTTCTTGTTTGATAAAAGATCTTGGAGATCTGACTATAGAGTGCTACAGCCGCTATGGTACTATGGCACTATGAGTCTCCCATTGCTCAGGAGCACTGCTGAGGAACACACCTTCCTATGGTGCACTATGATAGAGGGGTACGTTGCTCCAGGTCTCCAAAGCTACCCGACACTATGTAGACACCTGTAGTCAATGGTTGTTTTGCAGATGAGTGGAGTGCTTACCTGTGCTGGATAGACATGGTTTGAGAGAGAGATTGCCAGCACAGGAGAGGAAAATGACACTGATGACTTCTCCTAACCCAGCATCTGCATCTCTGAACATGGCAGTTCCAGTTGCTAGTTGAAGCCCATGGTTGGCGAGCAGAGCTCAAGCCTCAAGGGGAAAAGGCTTAGCAGAGCTGAGCCTTTTCCTTGAGTTGGCGCAGAGGCCTACAAAATGCCTCCTTACCTTTGGAACCTGCCATTATGACGACCCTCCAGGAGCATGAGCCAAACAAAGCAGAAAACGCCGCCGCACGAGCGGAGCGTCTTTATCCCGAGAGAAGATGTCGCCGATGGCCGTTCTTCAGTTGCGGAGGACGGTGCGGCTCCGGCCCGGATAGTCAAGGCGGGCCGGATCGGGCTGCATGCCTTATGGAACGTCATATAAGAAGGATGCTTCGCGGTAATCGACCCCTGCCTTCTCATCCATCCACCACCGTTCACCACCTTTAAAACTTCGTTACCTATAACAATGTCTTTTAGCAAAATCCTCACTCTCAACACTGGCGAGAAAATTCCCCAGATTGGTCTCGGGACATGGTTGTCCAAGCCGAAGGAGGTTGAGAACGCCGTACGGTCTAATCGCACGCGTCTCGTCGGGTGGGTTTCTGACGTGCATTTCGATTCTAGGTTGAAATCGCCGTCCGCAACAACTACCGCCACCTCGATCTCGCACGGGTGTACGAGAACCAAGACGAGGTCGGCGCTGCTCTCAAGAAAGTCATCCCCTCTGTTGTGAAGCGGGAGGAGCTCTTCATCACTTCCAAGCTCTGGAACAACTCACACAAGCCCGAGGAAGTTGAGAAGGCGCTTGATGAGACTCTGCGACAGATTGGAACTGACTACCTTGACCTGTACCGTGAGTGCCGAACGCACCGGGAATTGGCAGACTGATAATAATGGGTAATCAAGTTATCCATTGGCCAATTTCGTTCCCTCCTGGCAATGGCTTGTTCCCTCCTCATCCGACCATCGAGGGTGAAGTTGCCATTGATACGGAGACTAGCCTCGTCGACACCTGGAAAGCCATGCTTGCTCTCCCCAAGTCAAAGGTCCGTAGAAGGTCTCCAACGCGCGCATATATTCTCATAGTCTGCCGAAGGTCAGGTCGGTTGGTGTTTCCAACTTCACTATCGCCCAGATAGAGGGCATCATCGCGGCGACGAGTGTTGTCCCTGTATGTCTTCGTTATTTGAGAGCGGACTTGAACTTTAACAATGTCGCATTTAGGCTGTTAACCAAATTGAAGCTCACCCTCTCCTCCCTCAAGATGACCTCGTCAAATACTGCAAAGAGAAGGGCATTCACATCACCGCATACAGCCCCCTCGGAAACAACTGTCAGTCGTCGTCTCTAATGATTTGCGATGGAATTAACGTCCTTTGCAGTGGTTGGCAAGCCCAAGCTCACAGAGCACCCCGTTGTTGAGGAGATCGCGAAGAAGCTGGGAGCCACCACGGCGCAAGTACTTGTCGCCTGGGGCGTTTACCGTGGCTACTCTGTAATCCCCAAGAGCGTTCAGCTAGAGCGCATCCAGTCCAACTTCAAGCAAGTCGAGCTCTCACAGGCTGATTACGAGAAGATCTACTCCATCGGCACAAACAACTACACTCGGTGAGGGCTGAAGTTAAGGATTTTTTTAAAACGAGCTAACACATATATTTGCGCAGCTTCAACATCCCGAGAACCTACAAGCCCAAGTGGGATGTGAACATCTTTGATGAGCCCGAGGAGAAGGGTGCTGCGGTTAACGTCAAGATTCAGTAGACTTGTGTTTTCTGAAGGACTCTAAAATCTGTAGCTGTACGTACTTGGGCCCGTTTATTCAAGAAGTTCAACTTGGAGCCTGAGCAATAAGTTGACGCGATCGGTTGCTTATCAGATAACGCTGGCTTGGCACTGGCACTTGCGAATAATAAGCCTAATGATATTTGCGTCGTTGATCATGTTGTAACGATTTCTGATTTGGTCTGATTTTTTTTACTTGTAAAAAATGGGATTCGAGGAAATGCTGCAAGTGAATCTGCACATTGGGTGCACTGCCTCCGGCAAATTGATGTTTGGAACGCAGGGAGCAAACAAATATTCTACGTGTAAGGAAAGTTGCCGTGACAGGCAGCTCAGCCTCATATCTTTGCATTTTGTATCGTCTAGGATTCTGTGTCGTCGACTCTTCTTCACTCTGGGAGCTAGGGATTGGATAGAGGTCTCCCCCTAATTCTACTCGTCACTTCTCTGGAACTCGTCGACCCTACCTTAATATCTAGTCGCCACTACCCGATATGCCGCCTTCAAGCAATGGCCCATCTGGCATGGGCTACGAGCGCAAAAAGAGAGGCCTCACGTCCATACCCATCCATTCACCAATCGCCTCATCCAGCTCTTCGACTATCTACCGATACACCCAAGGGTCCGCGAATGGACACTACCCTCCCCGATCCGAATCACCACCTGCTTCTGCATATTTCCCCCTTCTGTCGGGAGGAGACCAAAACGCGGGACTTCGACCTACGCCAGATGCGGAGGCCCATTTTTCATACAGTACGACTTTGCGGAGGCATCAGACGGAGAGCGCGGCGGCACTTGCTTCGCCAGCCGTATTTGCTGCGGCTGTGAACGCGGAAGCTACCAGTTTGTGGAGGAGGGCTATCAATTATATTACTGGAAACACGAATCAGTATCAGGCTGTTGATAACGGTCGCGAAACCCCACCTGCAGGAGCGAAGGAGGAGAGACGCGACACGGCATCTGCGCAGTTTGCTCACTGTTCGATAGAGGTGTGTTACCCTACGCGATTTTTTTAATTTAGGAGTACATCTTGACTGATTCCTTGCCAAGGATACCATTGCACATTTTCATACCTCAGGAGGCAACGGGCTTCTACACTCGGACATACCTCGTTTACGCGAAACCCATGGCTATAATGAATTCTCTGTCTCCTCGCCCGAACCTGTTCTCATTAAATTTGCCAAAACTATATATGAGAGTCCCCTCATTCTCCTACTATGTGGGAGTGCTACTGTAAGCGCAATCATGGGAAACGTGGACGATGCCATTAGCATAACCATCGCCGTATTAATCGTCCTAACGGGTAAGGCTTGCTCCTATCTACCTTCAAGTTCTGTGCTTATGTTTCTCAACAGTTGGATTTGTACAGGAACGTAGATCAGAGCAGAGTTTAGAAGCTTTGAACAAGTTGGTTCCTCATCATTGTCATGTCATTCGGTGGGTTATGGATTTCATTACAGTGTTGCCCAAGGAATTGGACATCTAACACCGATCATGTTAATAGCGAAGCCAACACAATACACGTCCTGGCGAACGAACTAGTACCAGGGGATCTTGTCAAATTCTCAACGGGCGACCGAATTCCAGCAGATATCCGGATTATTGACTCGGTAGACCTAGAAATTGACGAAAGCAGTCTAACTGGCGAAACCGAGGCACGCAAGAAAATTTCCACCACCTGTGCGTTTGAGGGTGGAGCTAGTCATGGTGAATCAGTTGCGCTTGCTGAGAGAACATGTATCGCGTATATGGGAACTTTGGTCAGGAATGGTAACATTATCACTTCCCTCGATTCGGTCGTAGAAAACTCAAAAAATTCAGGCAGGGCAACTGGTATCGTTATCGCCACTGGAACTGAGACGGAGTTTGGTGTCATCTTTTCGATGATGCAAGATGTACGTTCGATGTATCCTCCCTCAGCTCTCTGGTGTGCTAATGGCCACTTTCAGGTCGAGGAACGCCGGACACCACTGCAGCTCAGTATGGATGAACTTGCCAAGAAGCTCTCTTTCTTGTCTTTTGGCATCATTGGTGTCATTTGTCTGATTGGGGTCTTGCAACAACGGTCCTGGCTGGAAATGTTTACTATCGGTGTTTCGCTTGCCGTGGCTGCCATTCCTGAGGGGCTTCCCATCGTCACTACTGTTACACTGGCATTAGGTGTTTTAAGAATGGCCAAACGAAAGGCGATCGTGAAGAAGCTTCATTCGGTGGAGTCTCTGGGATCGGTATCTGTGATTTGCTCTGACAAGACTGGTTGGTCTTCATGACATCTGCTTCGAGAAAACACTGACGACTTGTTAGGAACATTGACCAAGAATGAACAAACCGTCACTGAGGCCTATTCTGTGGACGAAACCATTTTTCTGGATCCCAGTTCAGCGATACCATATACAGGCACGGTGTCGCCTGCAATCAGGAAGACTATGGATATTGGGGCTATCTGCAACAACGCCTCTCTGGTGAAGAATGAAGATGGCGTGTATGTCGGCCAGTCCACAGACGTTGCACTCCTGAACGTTTTAAGTCTTTTCGGACTTCCGGATCGCCGAGATGTATGTTTTACGGTTTTAATGTTGATGACAGTTCTGGGTTTTGATTTCCCTGAATTCAGACCTTCAAACGCTTAACGGAAAAATCTTTCAGTTCAGAACACAAGTTCATGGCCGTCTCTGGTGTTCACGAAGACGGGCCCACTCACACGATTAATGGTGCTCCTAGGGAAATATATTACATCAAGGGGTCCATCGAGGCTATCCTCGAACGATGCAAGTTTTATTATGTAAACGACGAATCTACTCCACAGCTTGATGCCAACACCCGGAACGTCATCACCACCAGGGCACAGACGGCGGCGTCCAAGGGATTGCGGGTTATCGCCATGGCGTACGGTTATGGTCCAGTAGAATCACGTTCACGGTCCACCTCTCCAAACTCCAGTACCCCAGGGGAGAAGACGAATTTGGTGTTTGTTGGTTTCCAAGCCATGCTAGATCCACCCAGGAAAGGGGTTGCCGATTCGATTGGGCTGCTTCAGGCCGGTGGGGTGCAGGTGGTTATGATCACCGGAGACTCGGAGCAGACGGCTCTTTCGATCGCACAAAAGCTTGGGTTGAGGGTGGGCCGGGTTGCTGCTTCCGGCACGGAGGGTGGTGTGAATAGCCACTGCTTAACGGGCAAGGCGATCGATCAGATGACCAAGGCGCAGCTGAAGGAGAGGGTGGGGAGTGTTAGTGTTTTTGCGAGGACGACGCCTAAACACAAGATGGCGATTGTTGAGGCGTTTCAGGCGAGGGGTGCTGTGGTTGCGATGACTGGAGATGGAGGTGGGTCTTTTTTTTTCTTTCGTGGAATTCTCCAGCTCCACCTTAATTTTACTTGGTAGTAAACGATGCCCCGGCATTGAAAATGGCGGACATTGGGATTTCGATGGGGAAAAGCGGCACAGACGTCGCAAAAGAAGCTGCAGATGCTATCCTTGTGGATGACAACTTTAGCACGATTCTTCCAGCTGTTGAGGAAGGTAGGGTTTTCTTGGCACATTCTTCCATTTCCGCGGAGCAGCTTGCTTATTGATGCCCCCTTGGTTTGTTAGGCAAATCAATATTTCACAATATTCAAAATTTCCTGTCGTTCCAGCTGAGCACGGCTGCAGCTGCTCTGACACTGATCACGCTCAGTACCCTGCTGGGGCTGAGCAACCCTTTGAACGCGATGCAGATTTTATTTATTAACATTTTAATGGACGGTGCGTAACAGTATACAGTACATTATGGTTTTACTTACACGCCATCTCAGGCCCCCCTAGCCAAAGTCTAGGCGTTGACCCAGTTGACCCAGTTGTAATGCAGCGTCCTCCACGCAAGAAAAACGCGCCAATCATCACTCGGAGATTACTCTATCGTGTGCTATTTTCGGCGTCGATAATCGTGATTGGAACCCTGTTTGTATACGTGTTTGCGCTGGAGGATGATAACATGTCGAGGAGGGAGCAAACGATGGTGCGTTATTGATTCCGGTGGTTTTTGGCGCCGCGACCTTTCTTGCCCCTTTTCTCGCGTGGTCTGGGTTGCAAGCTTAAAGGCTAACCATACAACTCTTCTTTTCATTAGACATTTTCATGCTTCGTGTTCCTTGACCTGGTGTCTGCAGTGCAAAACCGCGGCCTTGGGTGTGGACTATTCCAGAACAAGATGCTGGTGGTTACGGTGTCGATATCGGCATTGTCACAGCTGGCTTTGGTGTATGTGCCCTTTATGCAGGCGATTTTCCAAACCGCGGCCCTTTCGATGAAGGATATGTCTGTCATTTTGGGGTTGGCTGTCACGAGCATGGTGTTGCATGAGGGACGGCGGTATTATGAGCGGAAGGTTAACACGGAGCAGACGTATGCGAGTGTTATGGAGGAGTTGGCGTAATCTATTTCTTTCAAGTTATATCCAAGGCACCCTGTCTGACTACATCTGACTATTACATGTGTTGTATGTATAGGTTGCTATCACAAAATTGAAAACATATGGATACCTAAGGTACGAAAACATGTGGGTCTTTGAAGTCTTCTGATGTGAACGGAAAATATGTGGGATCAATTATGGTAAATGGATGGATAATTGGGTAGTTTGATATCGGAGAAAACACATGATGGACTCCACCAAGAATTGGGCTGTGTGAAGGAATGATTTTCGGATAGCCATGTCACTCCCATGGTCACAATCATCGCGTACTGTTCCCAGTCGGTGCTGATAGTCCGGGAGTAGATCATACTCTTAGGAAGACTCGGAACTTTCAAGTTTCAAAGCCAAGCATCCTCACTCCTGTCGTCCTACTACCACTATCACGAAGTCAGTCACATCGACCGCCAGGGGTCCCAACAGAGCGCCTTTCGACGACGGACAACGGTTGCATCTTCACCCTTGTACCCTTGGTCATTGTACTCTGCAACGCTCGGCAGCAACGAAACGACCCCGTAGGTAGGAGATACCGGCTGAGTTGTCCTAGATTACTTGTTATCACATCGGCACAATGGCCACTACATGCGATACCCCTTCCCCAGAACTCGCCCCGAAAACGCCTCGTTCTCGCCTCGTGGGCATGTCTAGCCCACCCTCCCAATTAAGCCATCCGAGCTTGGCTCGTAGCCAAACCCACACTCCTGAATCGCCGTCCCCAAGCTCACCCACGATCCCTTCTCCCCCACTTCCCGTCCGTTCGCCACTCCGTCCTGCCGCACGATCTATATCAACGCAGTCAGCCTCTGGCCCAGCGAAACCTCGCTTGAACCGTGCCAACTCTCTTGATACGCCACCAAATTCGGAACTCGACGACTTTGCGGCAATTGCAAAAGCGGCCATCCCACTCAGCTTTCAAATGCGGGATCATCATAATTTCCCGGCTATGGAAGAGCTCCTGGATGCTTTGAATTCGGGCTCCGATGATAGTTTCATGTCAAAGTCACTGCCTTTGCGGCCGGATTCACCGCTCAGTCTTTCATTACTGGACGATGAGAATGATATATCTTACGCTGCTTCCTCGACTCAACCACAACCCCCGATGACGAAAAGGCACCATGCACTACACGAACTCTTGTCGTCGGAGAGAGCATACGCATCTGATCTCGCTTTGATACGAGAAGTACATTTGCCACTCGCGCTAGGTATGTTTTTTTTTTCTACTTGCTCATTCTTTTCACTTTTGACCCGGGCTCATTGACCAGGCCAAACTGTGCCTCTTCACAACCTTCCAGTATCACCTCCGAGCTCCTCCGCGTCCTCTTCACGGACACACTCCACCGCATCCGATTCGTCTACGGCGTCATTGGGCCCTCCCATGACGCAAGAAGACGCAAAGATAATATTCAGCAATATTGCTGAACTTGCTCTCTTTTCAGATCTATTTTGCGAAGAGTTGGAAACAGCTCTGGGATCAGTAGTAGAAGGAGGCTCTGGTCCTGATCGTGTCGGGGAATTATTTCTTAAACTTGTGGGTCTCACAACTATTTTTGTCCATCACGTTCTCGACGTCATTTTCTTCCATCAGATACCCGAACTAGAGAGGCCGTATAAATACTATATCACTCGACATCCAACGGCACTAACACATCTTCAAAATCTGCCTCCAACGCCTGCACTAACATCATACTTATCCTACACCCAAAACGTCGCGGCTTCCCTCTCTCACGCATGGGATCTCGCTTCCCTTTTGATCAAACCCGTTCAACGGCTGTTGAAGTACCCATTGTTACTCGCTGCCATCATCGAGGAGACGCCCGATAGCCATTCAGACAAAGAAAACCTCAGAAATGCGCGCGCAAGCATGGAAGAGGTGGCACGCAACGTGAATGAGGAGCGGCGCAGAGCAGAGGTCGTCAAAGACGTTTTATCTTCCAAGAAAAAAACGGTCAACGTTGGCGTGGCCACTTCAGTCAATATCAGTAAGATGAAGGGTTTACGGCATGGGGGAAGCAAGGTATCGCAGCTGGAGGGGGGAAACACGGAGGCGGCTGAAGTGGAGAAGATGCAGGCTGAGCTGAAGCGCATCGAGGTGTTTGCGCAGCAATTCGCAAAGAACGTCGTGGACTGGGCAAAGATGATGAGCAAAGTCATGATTGGGCTCAGGGTGTGGGCTATCAGTTTCGGAAAAGTCATTGGGCTATCGCAGGAGCAAGGGAGCGAGGCATTCGATGCCTTCTTGTCTGTGGTGGAACGGCAGCTGATGCCCTTGTGTGCGGAGTTGGAGGCAGCGATCAACGACCGGCTCCTCAAGGAAATTGCGCATTTGCTAATGACGATGAATCAGCCCCTCAAGTTGCTTGCGTCCATGAACGAGCAGGAACCATTTCATTACCACCTTCTGACAATGAACGTTTCGGCCAAGAACCGGCCGCCAGCTTCCCTCCTTGCTGCTTCGACGAATTACCTGGCTTTGCGTGGTCAGCTTGCTGCGGAACTACCTCAATATCTGAGTCTCTTGCATGCGGGCATGGCTATCTTTGTTCGAAGACTTGCGCAGATCCAGACACTGTTTTGGAGAGACGTGCGGGACCGGTGGGGTGACCTGTGGGAGATGCTGCGGGTCGAGGGAGAGTTGAACGCCGGCCACGCTGAGACTGTCAACGTCTGGCAAGCACGCTGGGCAGATGTTGACGAAGTGACGTCACAACTTAACATTAATCAATCCAAGAAACTCTACCAAGAACCCGAACGCGCCAGGCCATCTGTAGCGAACGTTCATTCCATGTTATCAAGTCTTGATCCCAACCCTCCTAGGCCACATAGAGCCCCAACTAACAGCAGCGCAAGTACGTTATCGACTCTCGAGCTCAGCTATACACACGTATCTGCACCCTATCCACTAACACCATCTGTCCGCACCCGCGGAAGAGGCCAGAGCGACGCTTCTATACGTATGGAACACAGTCTTGGCCGTCGTAATTCCAACGACAGTTTCGTTTCTGGGAAATCAAGACAGGGCAAGTCACCCAGCAGAAGACGACCTGATGATTATCCAGATTATACGGTTCCGACACCTGTGTCACCTTATATGAATTCAGCACCATACCAACAGATGATACCCCAATACCAACAGCACCCGCCCATCCCTCGGACGAAGAGCATGCCTTTACATCCGGAAAAGGCGCAATCTCCTTCGGGAAGGGCCGCTCCGTCCGTTTCTTCACGGACGATGAATGGCGTTTATGGGGATGGTGACCACTCATATCGGTCTACTGCAGATTCGTACGAAAGGGAGCGGGGAAGGGAACGAGACGCCCCGCTGTCGCGCAGCCCAAGCTACAAACGGCGGTCATCCGACGCACGGAGACAGCGCTCAAACTCGGGACCAAAAGCCGGATCCATGACGTCTTTCCTCAATATGAACCCTGATCCCCTTCCAGATCCGCGTCCGTTATCCGCTGCTCAGCGTGACAGCTGGGTGAACAAGCGCGCGAAATACGTCTGCCGGGTGATTCATCCGTGTAAACCGCCAGCGGCTGTATCGTACTTTAGCTTTCCGTTCTTCACGCTGGTGGAGGGCGATTTGTATGAAGTGCTGCAGGAGGCTGGACACCCGAGCATTCACCCCAAGTTGCCGTTGTATGTGGATGACGGGGAAGATTGTTTGCTTTTGTGTCGAGATGAGCGCGCGAATGTGGGTTGGGCGCTGGCTAGTTTCTTGGAACCTCTTAGCTTATCTGATTGATGGTTGGATGTCATTTCTTCTCACTCTCTCGCTTTTCATTTTCTGGGCCTAATAACTAACCTAACGGCTATCTGTTGTTGTTGTACTTATTTTTGCGTTGTATTATGCTTTCTCTGACCTTTGTATCCATCACTCTCCTTACATTAGTAACCTATCTTTCCTTTCTCTTCAAACCAAACTTGTATAGCAATATGTCCCAAAAATATGTTGTACAAATGCGCATGACGTGTATATAGACATTGATACAATGAAATATGTAGGTCCCGGACCCCTTCGATAAATGACATGGCAAGAAAGAGAATCTCGCCGGATTGCAAATGGTTTCAGCTTCAGCCTTCAGGAGTCGATTGCGATGTTAGTAAATATCTCAAATCAGGGAATGACGAAAGCAGTCCTCAATTATTTTCATTAGGAACGAAACGGGCACCAATAAATTCGGGGGTAGGGGGTTCATGATCGCGAGCCTCGACCGTGTCGCCTTCAGCATTGAGAGGCCAGAACGTGTTTCTGAACAGGTTATGAGGATCGTAGAGCTTCTTGATCTCGCAGAGGCGTTCCCAGTTGTCTCCGAAGGAAGCCTTGGTTCTTTCAGCAGGCTCATGACGACCGAGGAACTGTAGTTAAAGCGTGAGGAGAAGAAATTCACGAAGTTTTACTGAGACCCACGCTAGGAAGAGGTCCGCCAAGCTGGATGGATTTGAGGGTGCCAGAGATCCACTGAAGAGTAAGAGTGAGCACTACAAATAAATAAAGTGGGGATCTCATTGCTGACCTCCTCCGCCGAGTCGATGCAACGGTCGTCGTCGATGTCCATTTCCCACTGGTGGAGCGCAGCGATCGTGAATGATGCTTCCCGTTGGGATTTGGGAACGCAAGTATCTTCGTGATCAGGAATAGATCCTGCAGCGAGCTCAAAAAGCCAAGCTAAACAAAGGTTATGCTATGAAATGGTGCGATACGACGCATACATACTGCAACCAACTGGGGTACCAGCGAATTGGATGACGGTATCATTTATTATGTCATCAGGAAGGGAGGACACCAGAGCAGAGCGTATGAACCACTGTCGCCCAGCTGGGTAATGGCAGCATATCAGCATGATGTCTTTTTTTTCGTGAAAGGAAACTAGAAAACAGACCTTTTCCACGCAAAACTTGAGCAACGCTGTCTTGTTGGTGCAAAAAGCTCTTCTCGTCGACTTCATTGAGAAGGCAACGTTCCCCGTCCCAAGAAGATATCGCAGCCAAATACTCTTGACCTTTTTCTTTAGGCCCGACGTAGCACATCTGAACGACCATCAGGGAATCTTTGCCCGCCGGGCCGGCAGTCAAGAGAACGTTCGCGTACAGCTCATTCGGAGCGCCCTTGACGCAATCACGGAAATGCTTGATAAGAGAAGGAGCAGTAGCTTTGTTGAATCGACTGTAATGCTCTATCATCAAACACAGAGGAAAAAAAAAAGGACTGTAAGAACTCACTAAATGAGATTTCCCGCAAAGACAACCGGAACAGGGTATGCCTTCGCCTTGTACCGAGTCGCGATTCCGAGAGCTGGGCCGGCGCCTCGGAGAGCCCACCATAGATCTTTAGAAAAATCAGGCTCCACGAAAAGGGTGCTAAAAACTAAAGACTTTCCAGGCAATTCTTTCTCGTTGACGATCACAATCCGGCCGTCGGCGAGAACCATTTCGACTTCAACGAGATTGTCGATGCTCAGTCCATGGAGTCGACTCAAAAACCCGAAACCACCGAGAAGCATGATTGACGAGCCGACGGGGTGTGCTGAGCTGGGGATAAATAATTGAGGCGGTGAAGTCATACCAAGTTAAATGCAGATAATACTCACAAAGGAACATGATAAGGAATACCATCCCCAGTTCCAGTGATATACCTACATTCAAGCTTGTTTTGAGCGGTGAATGTGTCGATCTCCTTCTGTCTCATGCCCGCGCCAAAAGTCACGAAAGCGTGTGGATGAATGGGTTCCAACTGTACAGGCATTGTCATTTGCCCGAACGGACCCAACACGCTTTCAAAAATTGAGCTTGCGCCTCCAGCCCAGGCTCTGGCATGCGGATTAACTGCAGAGTGAATGACCGGTGGTGGAGGCGAAAAGTTGTTTGAGGGCTCGAGATACCCAAAGGGGTCAGCTCCGGGAACACCGTTCGAAGTACTGTTTGAACCAAAGCTTCGTGCCGGGGAAGGGCTCGTGGTGGCTGTCGAGATTGAGACATTTGCGTTCGAGTCTCCAGACCCAGCTTCAGAGCTGGACGACTCCAGGTTGAGGTCAGACTCCTGAGACACCTCGCGCGAAGAGGTGGATGGCGGTCCGGTGGGTGGTCCGGTATCAAGACGTCGGCGAACGCTAGGAGACGGTCCGTCAAAAGTGGATTGACGTGACAGAGAAGGGCCACGCAAGAAAGAGGCGACTTCGTGAGATGCTGCATCGTAGATCCGTAAATTGGCATCATCTTCGCGACGCCGCTTGGCAGTGTTAACAGGTGATAGTTCTGGTGCTCCAGTGACGGCCTTCTTGCCCTTGCTGTTCGCGGACGCGACGTCACGAAGACTGGTGAAAGAACCGTCGGGGTGGGGCGGTTCAATGTCCACTTCGACGAGTTTGCTCAAGTCGACGATGATGTCTCCCCCTATGGCCCAACCCGCAGTGCCATAGCCACCAGCTTTCACGGATGGCGAGAGGGAGTGCTTTGCGCAAAAGCGTACAATCCTGGAAATGGAATGTCAGACTGTCTCATCGTCGGCTGGATGGAGAACCCACTTGCTCACGTCCTCGGCATCCAGTGGACAGACCACTGCCTTTGCCAGAGATTGGACGTTACCGTTGAAAATTGTGGAATAATCGCCGAACCTAAGGCGTCCACGATTAAGAACGGTTCGTAACGAGAAAGCTTGAGTAATCCTCACCCAGGTTCACCTCGAAGGTACACTTGGCCTCTGCAAGATGCGCCTAATTCTTCGTGTAATTCCGGGGATAATGGTGTAGGCATCTTATAGTAGTGTTGTAGCAGAAGGTGGTTGGAAGAACAAGGGGGAAATTGGGTCACTGACTTATATGAGCTTCCCTCCTCGGCCGTAGTACCCGCGCCGCAACTACTCCAAGTTCTTGATCACTCTAATCTGACCAGCCGAAATCTAAGCCATAGAAGTACTTAGCAAAGTGTCAGCTGCTCCAGGGTGGACATTGTAACATTCAAAGGTTGGCGGCATTAATCGCCGCGTACGTATTACTTCTGCCATGTTTTCTCTCATGGTCATGACTGTCTGTCGATTCCAAGTCTTTCCTCCGTGTTCTTTCTGAGTTCCCCGTCTTCTCAATTACAACCATTTCGGGCCAGAAATATTCTCTTATCAGAAAGTGATCGGCCCTGCCCGAGTCGAAGCTTGAGTCTCTCGCCGTTGAAATGGAGTTGCACCCTCCAGAAGCGCGGGCTCTACCGCAGCGAATTTGAAGCACCCCCGATCAACCTGTATTTTTTTGCATGCGGTGTAGTAACTTGACAAACATAGGTATTGAACTCGAACAGTCGAAAGAGCCCTAAGTATCCCAGGCCGCAGTGCTGCCCAATTCGTATATATTGACAGCAACCATGATGAGACAGATTTTGTGTAGATTGACGCTCTTAAAGTCCGGGGATATCGTGAGGAGTTCCTGGGGACAGCCTGTATATGTGACGCAAATGAGTTCTCGAAATAGGTGATCCCACTTTACCTGCCTAAAGTGGTGCATTTTAAACGTAATTGTCAGAAAATTGGCAGCAACGGCTGAAATGGATATTACAGCGCTCCCCCTTAATGTAGTCTTGAATGGCCGCCGGTAATACAAGACGGAAATGAATGCCTCGAGCCTAGGGTATCGCTGGAAGCTGAACATCATTTCAAGTGCTCGCGTGTTAAAAGAAGCCGGTGGGAGGAATTAAAGCTGGTCTATGTGGCGTTTGGTGCTAAGTAGTCCGACAGGTCAAATCCCCAAAACGTGTCGCAAAATTGAGTTGTATGCCATAGCATGTCCGTTACAGTGGGTTGTAACTGCCGGCAAGAGCTTACAGGAATACCGTCATTCATGGCTTGCCTCGCCTCATGGGGGGTCAACTAGCGTTTGAGTGAGTGTCGTGGGCGTCCTCAGCAGTCAAAGGTCCGCCGAAGATAATGCTTCTTGAGTTACAATCAGGATAACAGACCGCAAGAGAAGAAGTAAGCTTGATAGGCACCGCGTTTGAGAAAGAAAACTGAGGTTCTTCGCTTGACTGCGATGTTGTGGGCTGAAGACTTTTGGTAACCAACTTTTGTTTGCAAAGTCGAAAACCCCCGAATCAAGCGTGAACAAACAGTGTATTCTATTTTTTGGCACAGTCTGTGGAAGGGTTCCCGATAGTCATTTTTGCCACTTGGCCATCGGCGTCTTCAATTTCGACCTCAATTTCTTGCGCATCTCCAGATCTCATCTCTCCACTATCCTCCTCATTTTCTATCTCGGGTCCTAGATTCATCACCTGCACGAACCATTTGGCTCCTTCATCCCATCCCGCGAGCTCAGCTTCGGCAAGAGGAGAATGTCCGGCCTTATTTTTTATGTCAATTAAATCGACGCCTGGACCATGCGGGAATCCGACGAGCTTTTGGGCGACCTCGAGATGCGAGTTGACTGCAGCCCAGTGGAGGGCCGTCGAACCCGAACTGTTTTGTGCTGATAAAAGCGATGGTGGTATAATGGGCAGAAGGTGCTCTAAGATATCTATAAAACACCTTTCGAATGTCAGATTGTCCATGAGAAAAAAAGAGTGGTTGGACTCACCTATATGTCCATTTCCGCAAACCATATGAAGGATGCAGTTTCCGTTTTCATCGCGGATCTCTGCTAGTGAGATTTGCCCATGCGTTTTCACGAATGACTCCACCTCTTCAAGGTCGCCGTACCTGCAGGAGAGTAGGAGATCATCGCTCTCTTCATTGGTAGGCGATGTTATAGACATGATTGTCGGAGATGTACTATAGATAACCCATCACATCCGCGAGCACATGGCTCTTTCTATTTTCAGATTCCGACCTCTTCAAGTTGATCATCACGGTGATCGCTGGCGATTGATGATTGCACCCACTGGTCCGCTGTTTTTATATTTCTATCGATTTGGCACCCATGAAAACATGCAGTTGTTCGAGTAACTGTTGGATTCAAACTGCAATCTGAGGTCTCTTCGAAGTTGACGGAAGAATTGGCCTGGGCAGCGAGCAAAAGTGGCTGAAACAACGGAGATGCTTGCCAAGCGTGCCGGTATCGCCTCCTTGCCCCCAAAGGATTTATCAGGTGGGTATCTGTGTACTGGTATCTATTACAATCGGCGGCACTTCGTTACGGACGCATGGACACCGATGTTAGGTTTGACCTCAACTCGTCAGGTTTCAAATATTCCCAACCACCCCCATCAATCTTGTTACCCCGGAATTATTTCATAAGTACCGGATGGCAGGCATCAGAATTGTGGACCTTTATACGGATATTTCACATTCCGTCTGCTTCGACCATTTCCAAACGTCAAACGTAATCACGGACTCTCCGTTGTCGGTTCAAGTACACACGCCTCCTCTCCTTGACTGCTGTTACACCTTCCCCAAGCCATGTCACATACGTCGGCTGCTAGCTATCTGGTCTGGTCGTTGATTACCGCCATCGTACGTATTTTCGTCCCTAGAGTTCAGTTATCTCTAATTGCCGTTGATCAGTTGGGAATTTTTCTTATATTTCACCTGTGGTCGTTTGACAGATTCAAATGCTTGAAGTGAGCGCAATGCAGTGGTCAAGACCGTTTCTGATCCCTAGGATCATAGGTGGAACAGTGGGCCTTACTCGGGGGCGTTCAAACGTATCATGACAGTGCGCCCACATCATTCTTATATTATGGCTTCTTCTAACCAGCGCTGCAGTACTCGTACATGTGTAGTATTCCGCTGATATTTGTATACGCGTTGGGCAACACCATCATCAAGTACAGAGAGGGAATTATCATCCACCCGATCCTTGGAGGTACGAGTGGAGGAACAAGTATGAGCCGACTCTGATCTTTCACTAGCGATCCCAAAACCATATCAACTATGGGAACCTGCGGCCAGACGTTCCATTTTCCCGTTGATGCTTATGTTCTCTTTTGCCTGGGGCCTGGAGATGTAAGCTTCCCCAATCGGCCATTGGCTTTCGTTTACTGATCAACAAACAGGGTTACGCATTTGGAAGGTAAAGGTCTGAATTCCCTGTCCCCGCAGATAAATTGACACCCTTCTTTGAAGAACTCTGCTTCTGGCTCTTCCTCGTAAACTCAGGGTCAGCCCAGCAAGACTGGTTCAGAAGCTTGTATTTCAAAACATGGGTGGTTGGCTCATGCATAGCCGTCATATACATGCCCCTGGTCACAATCTTTACGAGACACGACCCACTCGTGGTAAGTGGCGTCTCGTAATACGAATCCAACTTCTGATTTCACCTGCAGAGCGAAGCCTATATGTTCTTGGCTGGGAGTCTCGGGAGTCTATCGTTAACATTATGGTTCACACCCATTCTGTTGGTATCAGTCATGTATACTCCTAATCATGGATACTGATTAAGCTATTTGTTGTCAGCTGGACCTTCCCTGCTTTCCTCAAGAATCTGGTAAGTACATGACGTATTTCGAAAGAATTCTGCTTACCACGAATATTTGTAGCGGCACGAAGGCGTTGACACTGGGACCATCGTACGCTTGACTAAATTCTCCGAGTTAAATGTATTGTTCAACAACTTGCTAGGAAATATTTGTTGCTCATGTCCCTCTTCACAGATGATTCGTGTTATCTTCCGTTTTCTTTTTATCATCCCAATTCTTATTCTCGGGGTTGATGGCGTGCGACCTCACCACCATATTAACGAGTCTGTATTCTGGACGGGTAAGATTCAAACAAGGCTCCCCATGGTTAAAAAAATATCTGAGATCGGTTAGATCTTCTGGTCATCCTGTCTGGCTTTGGTATTGCGGTATCTTCGGGCATCACTTTGGTGGTAGGTGGTAGTTGATTTTTCTTGTCAATTAGCCACTGACACTGCAACAATAGATCTTCTTCCCGCGATCCATCGAAGGCGAGATCGCAGCGCGAGATGCTTCCAAGGAACGCAAGCGCAGTCGATCCTTTGGCAGAACAACGAGTGTGATGGACAACGACACCACTGCCAAAAACATGTCCATGTCACAATTTTCGACCTACAGAAATGCGCCGGCTGAGAGTGCGGCGGGTGGCACATACCTTCTCACATCTTCTCCAGTGAAGACTGGATTTGACATGCAAAGCTACGATGGTCACACCGATGATGGTCTCCGGATGGGTGGCTCGTCGTTTCAGCATCACGGTGATAAGCTGTGGGATCGTGATGAGGCCAGAGATGTTCCTGCTGCTTTGCCTGCGATGAAGCCGAATCGTAAAAGAGGAAAAGATGTGGAGCTAGGGGGAATCGAAGCCTTGACGGAAACTAACTTATCAATCCATAACCTCCGACTCTCAAACGTGAACCCTATGCTGCAGAATTTCACGTCCCCTATCGGTGCGTTTAGCTTAGCCTTGGTCTCTTGTATATTTTCCCACTGATCCTCCCATCCCACGCAGATTTTGTGTATGCGAGTGAGGACCCACCTCAACAATCGAGATTAACTTTCAATCGCCGATAAATGACTTCACACTCCTTTACCTTTCGACTGGTCTCGTCGCACAGTTTGTAGGCTGTCCGTAGTGCACTTGCTTGATCGTAATTAGTTATTATACTAATTTTCTGTATTGACCACTGCATAGCCACAATTATAAGCAGTTTTTGTATTCTGGTCATGGCATCAATCGTTCACCCGTCTTTTGGTCTCCGTCGGTCTCATCTGCACCTGCGTCTTTGAGTCCGGGGTAGAAGAGGGTAGAAAGCACATGTGGTGCGTAAAGTCATCGGGCCTACAATCTGGAAGCTGCTGATCCCCAGATCTAGCAAACACATCTTGAACGCGCAAGTCTCTATCCGCGCACCATGTTGCAAGCAATGGTACGACTGCGCTGAATGCCATGCCGAAGCGCAGACACATCCCTTGGGGAAAACGACGGAAATGGCGTTCATTTGCAAGAAGTGCAAGAAAGCATTCCGGAAAGATATGTCCGTGTACGAAGAGAGTGATGAATATTGCCCGCATTGCGATAACCATTATGTGAGTGTCTTATTTTCGTCCTTTTTTGCACGGTTTAATCGGAATACCTAGGTGCTAGAGGCGAAGACGCCTCATGCCGTAGTGGGGGTGGAGGGTGAAGATGCTAGGGTGGACGCTCGGTGGGTCATCATCTTTCTTGGGATATAGTCATCTCACGGCATTTTTTTCCCCCAGTATGCTCAAGGACGATCGTGTCAAGCAGGTAGAAAAGAAGTCCATCTTTGTGAGGGATGACTTTTCGGATATCCTTGGATGACGGATTGGCCGCTTGTCGAATTAACACGTACGCTTTAATGGATAAAATGCACCCTGTGCTCTGCTTCGCCTGTGATAAAGGTCTATGGCCTGAACTCTCATCGACGTCACGGATCCATAGGCTTCGTGACCTTCAAACATCCTGCAGCCTCTGAGCCAACTTGAGCGCAACAAGAGTTTCACTCAGAAACTTCAAACTATGCCCTGAAAGCCCATCTGCAGGCGATCATGTCCGTGCAGATATGGTATATATGACAATATCACATAAAGTTCTACTGAAGTCCTGATGCGACGAGCCACCCATCCGGAGACCATCATCGGTGTGACCATCATAGCTTTGCATGTCGGGAAGATGTGAGAAGGTATGTGCCACCCGCCGCACTCTCTCACTCTCAGCCGGCGCATTTCCATAGATCGAAAACTGTGACATGGATATGTTTTTGGCGGCGGCGTCGTTGTCCATCACACTCGTTATTCTGCCAAAGGATCGACTTCGCTTCCGTTCTTTGGAAGCATCTCGCGCTCGATCTCGCCTTCGATGGATCGCCTGAAGAAGATCTATTGTTGCGGTGTCGGTGGCTCATTGAGAAGGAAAGCCAACTACCACTTACCGCCAAAATGATTCCCGAAGATGCCGCAATACCAAAGCCAGACAGGGTGACCAGAAAATCTGACCGATATCAGAATTTCTTTTTACCGAGGAGCCTTGTTTGAATCTTACCCGTCCAAAATACAACCTCGTTAATAATGTGGTGAGGTCGCACGCCGTCAAACCCAAGAATAAGGATTGGGATGGTAAACAGAAAACGGAAAACAACACAAATCATCTGTGAATAGGGACGTAAGCAAGAAATATTTCCTAGCAAGTTGTTGACTAATACTTTTAACTCGGAGAATTCAGCCAAGCGTACGATGGTCCCGGTGTCAACACCTTCGTGCCGCTACAAATATTCGTGGTAAGCAGCATTATTTGGCATAAACCGTAATGTTAACGATAGACTCCCGAGACTTCCAGCGAAGAACATATAGGCTTCGCTCTGCAGGTGAAGTCAGAAGTTGGATTCGCATTGCAGACGCCACTTACTACGAGTGGGTCGTGCCTCGTAAAGATTATCACCCGGGGCGTGTATATGACGGCTATACATGAGCCAACCACCCATGTTTTGAAATACAAGCTTCTGAACCAAGTTGTCCCTGAGTTTACGAGGAAGAGCCAGAACCAGAGTTCTTCAAGAGAGGGTGTCAATTGACCTATGGGGACAGGGAATTCAGACCTTTACCTTCCGAGTGCGTAACCCTATTCGTTGATCGGTAAACGAAAGCCAATGGCCAATTAGGGGGAAGGTTACATTTCCAGACCCCAGTCAAAAGAGAAAATAAGCATCAACGGGAAAATGGAACGTTTGGCCGCAGGTTCCCATAGTTGATATGGTTTGGGGATCGCTAGTGAAAGTATCTTGCAAAGCTTTCGAGAAGTTGGCAAAGTCGCGCTCATTGATTTGCACAGTCTGTTGTGCGCGTTCCACTTTTATACTCACCTTCTTCATGTCCTTTCCCTGGACCAACGATGACTGCGCTGTGTATGAGTTGATCCGCATGCAGTCCGCTTCGTATTTTTCGCGCGCTTTGTTTGCGTAGGTCTCTTGCGTCTGTTTCGTTTTGAAGTCCTTCTCGATGGCCGCTTGGGCAACTTTCTTGTGCTGGAGTCGCCGCGTGTAAATCGCAGCGGCTGGGGACTCCAAATCGCTGTGTATTTGCTGCGCAAGGTTAAGGTGGATACCGCACTGGCGCTCGGTCTCGAATTTGACGGCGTTCAAGGAATTGCGTAATTCTCTGGAGAGGAGTGTTATCACCAGCAACTCGAGTCTGCGAGCCCAACCTACCCAATTTCATCCGTTCCCAAAACCATTTTCGACAATTTGGTTAAACGTTTGGCATAATCTTCCTCGATCGCTGCCCTAAAGGATACGCAAGGGTGTGTGAGCTCCTTGAACCAACATTGAGAACCTACTCCAACGCACCTCTCTTTCCAAAAATTCTTCAACTCCTTAACCGTCCTCGCAGCCCCCTGCATGCGTGCAAAAAGTACATCGGCAACACCATCGCCCAAGCCCAAAAATGCATTGCAGAAATCAACTGATTGTGGTTGTAAGTCCGGAGTGCTAAATCGGAGATATTTGGATAGAGAAGTGGTTGAAGGCCGGCGGCGCACAGACATGGTGTGTCGTCAGGGAATGGTATCAAACTCAGAAAGAAGGGGAGAGGAGCAGTGTTTGTTCGCAGAACGATGACGTAAGGATATCCATCATGTCTCAATTCACAGACGTGGGTCCCCAGATTATCTGGCATCTGCTTTCGCACTGGTATCCCACAGTTTGACTTCTATGTTTAACCGTGCAGAAACAACCCCCCCATCATCACCTACCGAATCGCTGCCACCGTCAGGAATTTCCAACGGGGTAGTATCTCCATCCGAGTGCGTACCTTGTCATCTCTTTTCTGGTGCTTACTTAACAAAGTTCGTGGTCAGTGGCCCACTCGCAAATGGCCACAAGAAAGTAAATGGTGTGGTCGAAATGAATGGGGTCTCAACGTCAGGGGTTTTAAATGAGTCCCCCAAACCGTTATTTGGGTGAGTCGCTCGTCACCTTTCTTTTACTGCTTACTCGATGGTGCTACTTATGTATTCCTAGTTCAAAACTCGTGGTCCTCGGACCGCTCGCTAATGTCAAGAGTCAGCCCGAACAACTGCATGGTATGGTCTCCATTTTCTGCTTTTGGGCCTCCCTCTAAATTATATGCAGCCCTCAATAGGGTGCACATTGATGCTGCAAACACGATCATGGATGTGTTAAAGAATAGGTGTGTGAACGTGCTGCCAGGTCTTATTTTTTATATACATAGTATTGCTTAGGAAGCCGGACCAAGAGCATTATTATGCAGATTTTGTATCTGTTCTGTAAGCAATTTTTGATCTACGTGTGACATTGCAAATTCATCATGTTGTGCAGAATGAATGAGCCATACGGGGGGATTCGCAACATGCACCGATGTGACAATAACTTGAGTAAGTACTGGGAGAGCATTGGCTGTTTAACTTTAATCCTTCATATTTCCAGTGAGCTTTGCCTCTGATCTATATTTTGATCTTTGGTACAACCAAAGTCGCACCAGTGAAGTCAGTTCCCACATACCCCCTTGCACTGAGATGTGTCATGGACTTACATATAGATCAACATTGTGGCCTGTGAAAGTGGGGCATATTTGGTCAGTTTTCCTTGTGTCATGAGTACTAGAGGCATTGATATGGCTATACTGCAGGCTGTCAAGCTGATGCAGTTTATTGATCTCTATGGTGATTCCTTCATTGGTTCTATGTCCAACTTCGACATTGTTTGGAGTAAGTTCTTATATGGACAGCCAATTGACCTTGCCACTCGGCCTGGTTCAAAAATCTCGAAAATATGCCGGTGGGTGTTACTGTTACATAGCTTTTATGTTGCTTATATTTAATTTATGCAAGTGCGGTCATTCTCATTGATCCATCCCTCACTGCTCCTCGTCGCATGGCAAAATGGCTCGGCTTTCGGTCAGCCATGTATGACCAGCTGAAGCTGGTGGCTCCCAGAGGAGACTCAGGGGAAAGATTCTGCTTGGTCTTGCACACAGGTCTCGTCACGGCAACTCATCTCCAGGTTGAAATTGAAGGAGCACAAAATTTTGGGGATGATGGGCTGGCAGCTGTGGTGGAGTGTTTTAAGAACTTCATTAATGCATAGAAAAGTTGTAGAATATGATTTCAATTTAGTTTGTATTGAGCAACTCCATCTTCATTGAGCATTTGATGAGGCTGATTATTTGATCAAATAAAACCTCATCTGACTCCATAAAATCAAATGTAGAATCCCCTGCATCATTGCCTTTACCAGGACCAGCACAACAGTGGCCACAATCACCAAGGTGTTCACACTTGAGAAATATTGGTGAATGGGTTGCACTTAACTCCTGTGTCTGCAATCAATGAGTCTGGTTTTGCACCCATCAAGCCAGGACTGACATGATATTTGACAGATTCTTGAAGGAAAAAGAGCATGTGGTGCTTTTCATTGGTCATGACAACTCAGCTGCAAAAATTTATGGTTGTGTTGGATTCGCTGGCCTCAGCAAGAATGCTGAACCCATTGACAGGGTTGACCCATGGTTAAAAATTGGTTTAGACCACGACCTTGTCTATATGGGTCACCGGTAAATCATTGAGACAGCAAGGAACTGGAGGCAGGGGATGAGGTATGTTGAATTTAGGGCAGAATATTTGTGGGTAGCTGAATATAGGGTAGGCACCCATACACCCATCATGGTTGAATTGACTCCCTCTCTTGAAGAACTCTGCTTCTGGCTCACAGGGTTTGCACAGGGTCAAACTGGTCAGGAGCTTGTACTATCTCAAAACATGGGTAGTTGGCTCATGTATATCTGTCATATACATGCCCCGGATGACAAACAAGGCACCACCCACTCGTAGTAACTGGTGTCTCGTAATGCTAATCCAACTTCTGATTTCACCTGCAGAGTGAAGCCTATATGTTCTTGACTGGGAGTCTATTGTTAACATTATGGTCCATGCCTATTTGAAATAATGCTGCTTACCACGAATATTTGTAGTGGCACATAGGTGTTGACACTGGGACCCTCATATGCTTGGCTGAATTCTCCGAGTTAGTCAACAACTTGCTAGGAAATATTTCTTGCTTACATCCCTCTTCACAGAAGATTCATGTTGTTTTTATCATCCCAATTCTTATTCTTGGGGTTGATGGTGTGTGACCTGTTACTTCACCACTATATCAATGAGGTTGTATTTTGGACGGGTAAGATTCAAACAAGACTCCTCATGGCCAAAAAATTATTTGAGATGGGTTAGATTTTCTGGTCATCCTGTCTGGCTTTGGTACATCAGGAAAATCACTTCTTCCCTGAGGGTATCCAGGGTAGACCCTGGATACCCAGGGGCTGTCACGGAACTCAGGGCATCAGGGCGCCCTGGAGCACCCTCAGGTACAGGTTCCTTTTTTTGATTTCCCAGTAGCAACCTGAGGTGCACTGAGGTTGTCCTGGGGTGGCCTGGGCTGTCCTTAGAGAGCCCTGAAGCAGACCTGGAGTCCACTCAATAGACAAACATAGTAGTATCAATAATTATTAAAGATGTATTTAAGACACATGGATAGAAGTAGATTAACAATTACTATAAGTAACTATGTAAAAACTACTTCAGATGGCAGATAGATAAGGATGGGGGAAGACAGGGTCTCACCCATCATTGTCGTCATGTCATGGTCCCCTTGTGGTCACGCCTTTGTGTTGTCATTGTGTGGTGGTGTCATCATTGTGTTGTTGTGGTGTCATTGTTATGTAGTCTTGTCATGGATGCATAGTGATATTGTTGTCATGCGGTGGGCGTCATGTACATGGTGGTGTCATTATTGCATTATTGCATCATTGTGTCATTGTGTTGCAGTCTGGTGGTGTTGTGGATGTGTGGTGGGTGTTGTGGATGCTTTCAGCATTGTCGTCACATGGCATGTCATGTAGTGTTTGAAAGTCCGGTTCGGTCCGGTTTTTTGATGCCCAGGGGCGTTAACCGTAACAGTAACCGGTCTGCCTTTTCCCCAGAAGTCAAAAGACCAGACCGGACCGCAAAAAGACCGCAGACTGCGGTTTTTTGTGGTCTATAGACCGGTTTCGGTCTGCATCAGTTTTAACCGGTTTATGACCGGTCTTTAGGCCAATATTTTAAAATTATGAATCGGTAAATTTATTAACATCTCTAATAGCTTCAAAACGAGCCCAAGAACGTTAAATTCCGTTAGGTATTGGTGCTTCTATAAAATAAGTCTGGTACATCTATTATTCCCAAAAGTAATTTACATTTTAATTCATATCTCTCTCGTTTTTTTTACCAAATCGTACGTTCTTGGGTGCGTTTTAAAGGGTATTTAAGGGGCTACAAAAAACCGGTCCAAACCGGTCAAGACCGGTTCACGTTAACAGGTCTTTTTGCGGTCTTTACATTTCAAAAATAAAAGACCGTAACCGCAGGTCCGGTCTTTTGCGGTCTTGGTCCGGTCTGGTTACGGTCTTTTTCCAGTCACGAGACCAGACTTCCAAACACTAATGTCATGTCATGGCATCATCATTGTGGCGTGGTGTCATGTCACATCGACTTTTGGTGGGTGATGTTAGAGAGCCAGGCAGTGAGGGATAGTGTTTAAAGGTTCAGTCCATAGGACCGCAAAAAACCGGTGGACCAAACTGAACCGGACCATGGTCTGGTCTTTTTTTCGGTTGCAGTTGCCCCAATTTGGGGTTGGTCCAGTTGCCGGTTGCCTCATTTCAAAATCCTTTTAAAACTGTTCAAAGACCGGTTTTAATCGGTTGCAACCAGTTAAACGGTCACGTGCGTTACATACCCTTGTGACCACGTTTATTACCCCTTATTGGGTTTTTGTTTCATCAAAAACGGTTAAGAATTGAGAAAGATATAACCAAATCCATATTTTACCTGCATCTCTAGGAGATGTAATTCAGTTTCAGTCATAGCTATGTCAAATCTTCATTAAATCTCTTAAAAATTGGTAGAATGACGGGTATTTACATGCTTTACTATTTTATATAACCTGTTTATTTTTCAGAGTAATAATGGTTGAGATACAAATGGTTTATATTGGTATAATAAATTATACACAAAAAAACCGGTCTGGATCGGTCTGAACCAGCTCCATAGACTGCAAAAGACCGGTCCTAGGTGTTGGATAGTCATAGCGGACTGGCAACTCCGGCACGCCGATGCAGTGCACGCTCAACCTATCTAGGACTAAGTAGTATATTGTAGAGTATTCTAGTAGTTACATATTGTAGTATATAAGGAGGGCTCGAGAGCCCCCAATTCATTATCCTTCTTGCTTTATACTCCCTCGTATTTGCTGCTCCAACAGGTTATGGGCCCCGAAGCCTAATCACACTACAAACTACTATACAACCTTATCACACCCTTATCACCCTTTACATTATCGATTACGTAACAGCACATGGAGACCACAGGATCATCGAACATTTACTGGATTGAGCCGCTTAAAGGTGCGGACAATTACGCAGTATGGAAGATCAAGATGATGGATATCTTGACGGATCAGAGTCTGTGGGAATACGTGGATCCCGGTACAGCACTGTCAGACGTCAACCAGAAAACAGCATGGGATAAGAAGGACAGGACAGCTTTATAAACGATAAGATTACGAGTAGCAGACAAACTATTGGTATACGTCGCTAGCTCGAAATCATCAAAAGAAGCCTGGAATACATTTGAAGGGTCTGCTGGAAGCCCAAGGGCCGTTAGGAATTGTCCTTGCCCAAAGAAAATTATTCAGGGCTAAGTGCGAGGATGGCACTAGCATTGAAGATCACTTCCGGACCCTTAGAGGTTATCAAGAGGAGTTGCACAATCTTGGACAGAAAATTGAGGATGCAGAATTTTCTATCATCCTACTCACATCACTTCCAGATAGTTGGAATAATTATATTTCATCTATTGACACATCTGCCCTCACCGATGCACCTAAATTAATTGCCAGAATCCTCGAGCACGATAGAAGACTCAAGATTCAAGGCACCGACGATATGGCCCTGCCAGCCAAATGGGGCAAGAATAAATACAATCTGAAAATAACATGCTTTGGATGTGGCAAGCGTGGCCACATCAAAGCAGACTGCTGATCTAAATCAAACGATCAATCAAATGACAAGAAGCCAAAGTTTGGGGGAGCACGTGCAAATGAAGTCACTGATGACTTTGCGTTTGCAGGAATTGATGGCGCGCCCGAAATGGCATTCGCTTCGCTCACAGCTGATTCCTGGTTGGCGGATTCAGCGTGTACTTCACATATTACACCAGAAAGGAGTTATTTTAGAGAATATACTCCTACCTCAGGTCATTTTGTTAAGGGATTAGGAAATCAACCAGTATTAGGGATGGGAACAGTTAAATTAACCTCCCGCGTTGATGGAAAAGCCTATCCCATCACTCTCAATAATGTGCTTCACGTTCCGAATGCACCCCATAATCTTATCTCGCTTGGGCGAGTTACTGGCGCAAAAATTCAAGTACTATTCACAGACACACACGTGAAATTTAGAGCACCAAATCGGACAATTATGGCACAAGGTACCAAGATCTCGAATCTGTACCTTATGGATGTCAAGGTCTTTGCCAAACAAGACCAAGCTTACTCTGCAAAAGCAAGTGCACACACTTGGGATGAATGGCACAGAATTTTGGGTCATTTAAATATGGCTTCAGTAAAACAATTGAAGTCAAAGGAAATGGTTAGTGGTATGGAAGTTGATGAAAGTGTTCCAGCCACAGAACAGTGCCCGGCATGCATTCTCACGAAACAACATGTTACACCCTATCCACAAGAATCAAAGACGGAGATTGCCGAGGTTGGCGATCTAACAGTTTCCGATCTTTGGGGACCTGCACAAACTACCGGCATAGGGGGAGAAAAATATTTCATCACATTCACAGATGGAAAATCACGCCGTTCAATGAGATATTTTCTGAAGAAGAAATCCGAGGCACTAGAGAAGTTTAAGCGGTACAAGGCATTTGTGGAAACACAAACAGGCCGGAAACTGAAGAAACTTAGAGTTGATGGTGGTGGGGAATATATTAATGATGAGTTCAAGGAACATTTATTAACAAATGGAATATTCCTCGAGGTTACAGCAGCCTACTCATCTTCGCAGAATGGAATTGCAGAGTGTGGAAACCGAACTGTAGTTTCGGAGGCATGCACTATGTTACACTCGCAAGATCCACATCTCGCTTACTATCTTTGGCCAGAAGCGGTCAAATATGCCACTTATCTCCGAAATCGTTCTCCCACACATGCCTTGAAAGATGGAAAAACTCCTGACGAAGCATTCTGGAACAAAAAACCTAATATCTCGCATTTGCAAGAATTTGGTCGCAAATGCTGGGTTTTACAGCAAGACAAGAAAAATAGGAAATTGGATCCTAGATCCTGCCCATTTAATTTTGTTGGCATTGATGACAGTACAAAAGGGTACCATTATTGGAATGGCCGGCAAATATTAACCTCATGCAATGTTATTTTCTCAAAGGATGACCAAGAAATTCACGACTATGATGAATTTGAGGTCACAGTCAATCGTCCTATGGAGATTGAGGGGGAGAATAGTCAATCGGACAATCTCCCATCAGACGATAACCCTGACGAGAACATCAGTACTAATAATACCGTGATCGCGGACATGCCAAAAACGTCAAAGATTCCAATTCCAACTCGGGAAAAATCTACACGTGTTGCCGAGAAGTCACCATTCCATTATAGGTTTTTAAATAATCCTGCAGCAAGAGGTCCTCGGGAATGGCGGCATCAGGTACCAGTTCTCTCACAAGAAGAAAGCAATTTCTTGCAAGACATGGAAATAACATATGATTATGCTATGCTTGCAGAAAAAGTGCCAGAGGTTGATGATGACCCGAAAGATGTTGAAGAAGCAAGATCCCGTCCAGATTGGCCTGAATGGAAAAAGGCAATGGATGCGGAAGTTCTTCAATTAGAAAATCTAGGGACATACATCAAAACAAAAATTCCTAAAGATAGAGTTGCCATCAACTGTAAATGGGTATTCCGCCTAAAGCGCGACGCAGAAGGAAAAATCGTGCGGCACAAAGCAAGATTAGTTGCCAAAGGTTTTTCACAAATCCCTGGAATCAATTTCTTTGAGACTTTTGCGCCAGTGATGCGCCTCGATACCTTGCAGCTATTATTAGCTATCGCTGCATCATACAGATTAGTTGCCCACGTTGTTGACGTCGTGGGAGCTTACCTAAATGGTGAACTCAAAGAACAAATATACATGAAGCAAATCCCTGGATACGAGGACAGCACAGACTCAGTACTATTATTACAGAGAACACTCTATGGACTACGACAATCCGGACGTGTGTGGAATGAAAAGTTAAACAAAACTTTCATTCAACTCGGCTTCACACGGCTATTTTCAGATCAATGTGTCTATATCAGGCACATCAGGAACAACATCGTTATCATCGGAGTTCACGTTGATGACATGTTAATTTTAGCTTCAAATGAGGAAGCAATGGCAGAATTCAAAGGAGAATTCAGCCAAAAATTCGATATTTCAGATCTTGGAGAACTTAAACAAATAGTAGGATTTGAAGTTCAAAGGGATCTCAAGAAGAACACAATACATTTGACACAAAATCAATATGTGGGAAAGATCTTGGACAGATTTGGAATGTCCAAATCCACGCCTGTCAAAATGCCACTTGATCCAAATGTCAAATTGACTAAAACTCCTGAAGGAGAACATCACGAAATTCCACAGTATGCAGCGGCAATTGGCTCGCTAATGTATGCAGCAATTGGCACACGGCCGGACATTGCTTATGCAGTCCAGCACCTTAGTCAATTTACAAGTAACCCGAGCCCTGAACATTGGAGTGCAATTAAACGTGTCTTCCGGTATTTAAATGGAACACGCAATTATGGAATAACCTACGGCAGTGGGAACACTGTTCCAATTTTAGAAGGGTACTCTGATGCGGACTGGGGAAATAGTGATCTCGATCGCAAGTCTATATCGGGATACATTTTCTTATTCGGGAACACGCCCATTTCATGGG